TGACGAAGTAATGAACCAGATCTAATCATTATATCCTCTGTGGACATGGAAAGGAATAATGAACTAGGATGAAACATTATCTACAACAAGTACATGCTAAGAAGTAATGAACTATAACAAAATATTATCATTGGTGTGTGATATGTCAAGTAGTAATGTATGAGAACTAAACATTATCTATTTAATTATTTCTAAACATCAACTGTCATATGTATATGGAAAGGAGAAATGAGCCATGACCAAATGTGATATTCTAAGTAATAGTTAAATATGTCTGACATAATCTTCTATGGGTACATGTGAAGCAGTGATTAACTATGCCTAAAGATTAACACCAATATGAACATATTAAGGAGTAATCAGCTATATCTAAACATTATTTCCAATGAGTTACTAGTGAAGGAGTAATGAATTATATCAAAACACTATTATATATATGAACATGTTACGGAGTAAAAACTAAAACTAAACATTAACATGGATGTGTACATGGCACGGAATAATGAACCATGACTAAGCATGGCCTTCCACGTGTACATGCAAAGAAGTTATGAACAAGAATTAAACATTATCTTCTAGGTGGACTTGTTGTTGCTAAAAGAATAAGGAAACTTGAATCAAACATTAACCGCTATGTGTAAAAAGCATGTTATAACCAACTAAGACTAAGAATTATCTTCCATATGTACATGTGAAGAAGTAATGAATTAGATGTAAACAATACCTTATATGTGAACATGTTAAGAAGTAATCAACCAGAACAAAATTTAACAACTATGAATCACATGTTAAAGAGAAACTAACTGTAACCAAACATTAATGTCCATGTTTACATGGTGAGAAATAAGTAAGTACAACCAATCAACAACTTCTAAGAGTACATGTGAACGAGTGTTGAACTATGACGAGACATAATATACTATGTGGTATATGTTAAGTAGCAGTGAATGAGATCTAAATGATGTATTGTATGTGGACATATTAATGAATAATAAACAATGTCTAAACATTAACTCCTATGAGTTACATGTTAAGGAGGAATAAACTATATCTAAACAGTAACCTCTACGTGCTAGTTGATAAGGCAGGGAGAACAAGGTATAAAACAGCAGGTGCAAATTTAAGCCCAATGGAAATGTTGGGTGTGGAAAGAACTGGTCAGGGAGAAGAAAGGAAATCACAGGTAGAAGGTATACATAATGTAGGTGGGAAAATTCAAATGATATTCATTAGATGGAGAAGTATTAGGTGGGAAAAGTTCCTCCATTTTGTCCTCCTCAACTTTAGCTTCAAAATTCTGTGAAATGTGTAGCAGGGACAGAAGAAGAGGGTTTCAGGGATGAACCCACCACACATGGGATGACTGTCACAGACTCAACAGGTGAAAAAACTTCCTAAATTGTTGGTAATTGTGAGTGAAATTTTACTTGCTTCAACAGGAAAATAATTCATATTAATTTGTGAATTCATATTTAAGGGTTGCAAACACAAAGTAAAGTAGTTGATGTGAAATACTTCAACAAGTCTCAGCAAAATTAGGAAGAACATCTTTGTATGACTGTGCCAAGGAAAAGAATGAGGAATTTTGCATATTAATGTAAAGGGAACATTTCCACAAGGAGGTGTGTTGCACTCCGATTGATGGAGGGTTTTACTGCATGACATATTATCATGCAGTAGTGCAATTTTATGTTTCACATGAATTTTAGGTGGAAGTTTTCACAAGGATAACATACAAGTTTCTCAGGCAGAAAGTGACTTCAAGAGGAAAATAGCTAATCTGTGTATGAAAGTGAATGATCGGTGAGTGATCATTTCAAAATATATCCTAAAATGTCATTATTCAAACATGTGTCCAGAAAAATGTTGCATGTTTTAGAAAAAGCAGTTCTATACTTAAACATTTCCTTATTAGATGCTTGGACAACCATGGGTGGAATTTCATCTATCTTCCGTAACTCTAGGATTTTTCCTTTCCATAAGAATAAAAACTAATTAATGCACAAAAGGTTTTACAAATTCAAAAAATAAATCAGAAAAACATGTTCAATTTAGTATGAAATAAATATTCAGTTGCAGTTATATTTGTCAATATTCCATAACTTAGGAACTTATATTTCACAAAAGATTGTTATTTAAAGACTTTTGTCAAGCCTCATCACTTTTATTATGTAAATGCACACAAGATGAAAATGTGAGTGCAACATCAAATATAATTTTTGATTGTGCCACTGCACCATTTAGGCCACTTATTCCTAGTACAAAAACTTCACATGATCAACACAGCTGCAATGCTGTAATACAACTTGTACAACAAACAACACTACACTGACAAACTTATAAGCTTTTATGAAATGCAAACTATAAGGTTTGAAAATAAATGTTTAAAAGGAATTTTCTCAGTGCATTGCAATTAATTTACACTATGAATCTCTTTTTACCAAATTCCACAACCTTCCAGAACCCATGCAAATTGTGTAAGTCATAAAAACATATTTATTTGGTCTCTGATTAATCTCATAGAACTTGTACACATGGCTGGTGCTAGTGGGAAACTACATGCCCACCCCCAGCTAAAGCTATCCATTAATCTAATTGTTGATTTCTTTTAAATTTTGCCCCACTATATGTCTCACTATCCCCACTTAACTCTTTCCACAAGGGTCAAAGGCCACGTCATTGCATTTGTTGATTTGCATTCAAAATTTTATTGAACTACTACTATCAACTACTATTCTATGAATTTATATCAATAAGTTTGGTATCAAACTGTAAATTATAATTCAAATTTTAGTATTACACATTATTTAATTTCTTAATTTAAAAGTAAATATTAAAAACACACCTAAACATAGATTTTTTGTGTGTCACGTGTACGTTAAATGCAGCACTGGTTCAAATTAGATGTTTGTGATGTCAAAATATAAAGTCTATAATTTCGTATGGGTTAATAACTCAAATTACTGATAGTAACAAGCTAGAATATCAAATAACAACCTCCTAACTTTTCTAATTGCTGAGATATTACTCATGTACTGAATCAAACACAGTGGCCCTGCTCACCTCTTTCCATTTTTGGAAATGCTTCCTTATATACACTTACTTCTGTCTTTAGTCTGCTCAAAATTTCATATATTTTAGACCCAAATACAGCTTAATTACTAAGCTTGATAAGTTATAATGGAATTTTATGGTATCGATGTAGCAATTTATGATTTTTTGGTTATTTAAAATGTATATATAAAAACCTTTAAAATATTTTTTTGTTTCATATCCTCCACATCCAAAATTTTAAAAGGTTTAGCAACCTACATCAAGCAGCAATCAAGTACAAAGGTCATAACTAGAAGAGATAATTGTTTGCTTTATTTCTTTACTGTTTTATGTTTTAAGAAAAATAAGTTTAAGAACTT